GGTAAAGGACTCGGTAAAGGAGGCGCTAAGCGTCACCGTAAAGTCCTCCGTGATAACATTCAGGGAATCACCAAGCCCGCTATCCGCCGTCTGGCTCGTCGTGGTGGAGTCAAACGTATCTCTGGTCTCATCTACGAGGAGACCCGTGGTGTGTTGAAGGTCTTCCTGGAGAATGTTATCCGTGATGCCGTCACCTACACCGAGCATGCAAAGAGAAAGACCGTCACCGCCATGGATGTGGTTTACGCTCTGAAGAGACAGGGACGCACTCTGTACGGCTTCGGAGGTTAAACCTGATCATGACCCCCTCACACTAAACCCCAAAGGCTCTTTTAAGAGCCACACACTTCCTTTAAAGAGTCAACCCCATTACACACTTAATATGAAGTTGTGACGTTGGTTTAACTTCTCATCACCTATATACGACAAGACGCCTGCTGCAAATGCTTCTTGTGAGAAAACAAAAATGTACAAAAGAAGTTTTGATCCCTCCTTTTGTTATAGTCTGTGTTTGTAACCATCCATCAAGTATGCTAAAAACATTTGCTACATCAAACTCAATAAGCAAAGATGCTCTGCATCAAGTCTCATCCCCTTAAAGGAGAAATACAAACCAAGATGCTTAACAACCAAAGGGACTTAGCTGACTATGGTTTTATTTCAGTAAAAGACAACTCATGTTAGTGATAATACAAAACCGGGCGCTTCAAGTCCTTGAAGAATTGAACTGAATACAACGACTCACTTTGCTTGACTTTAACCTGAGCAATCATTGTCATAAAGTTCAATGAAGCTTTATTTTAACTTAATAGAATGGACATACCCAAACTGGGGCTGTAATGCTTTCAAGGCGTGGTTCTCATGCTCTAACGTAAGAAATGAATGTGAATAATAGAGGTATAGGAGAGTCATCCCACATCTTACAACCAAAATGAACACCTCCATAATAAATTAATGACCCCGATTTGCAGGTATATATATGTTGCGTATAACAGGACAGTCAGGATTTCAGCTCTTTGATGAAATGTTGAGTGGTCCTTAAAAGGACCGTTTTGTTGCTGGTTGTCAGCGGGTTTACTTGGAGCTGGTGTACTTGGTCACAGCCTTGGTGCCCTCAGACACGGCGTGTTTAGCCAGCTCACCGGGCAGCAGCAGGCGGACAGCGGTCTGGATCTCCCTGGAGGTGATGGTGGAGCGCTTGTTGTATTGAGCCAGACGGGAGGACTCCCCAGCGATGCGCTCAAAGATGTCGCTCACGAACGAGTTCATGATGCCCATAGCCTTGGAGGAGATACCGGTGTCGGGGTGGACCTGCTTCAGGACTTTGTAGACGTAGATGGCATAGCTCTCCTTCCTGGACTTTCTCCTCTTCTTCCCGGTCTTGGTGGCCTTAGAGACGGCTTTCTTTGAGCCCTTCTTGGGCGCTTTCACGGGTTCAGGCATGTTTTCTGAGAGGTGATACCGAAGTGAGTGTCAGAAAGCAGTATATATTTGGTGTTGAAGCAAATAAGGAAGTGCTGTTGCTCACACAGGATTGGCTGAGATTTGTGCGCTCGAGGGTGAGCGCGAGATGCGAAAGCGCGAGTTTTCAGTCACGTGACCGGAGCTGAAGCCTGGAGGCCAAAGTGAGTTTAGGAAAGTAACGTCTGATGAGCTGCAGCATGGGTTTTTATTTTATCTGTTGAAAAACGACCATCGATATCACATCATCACAACAGAATTTGGTCATTTTTGACAAATAATCTGACCCTTAATCAACTAATGTCATTTCCACCACATCTAAACAAACAGCATTTTGTCTAAATGACATTTGACACCCCCAAATAAATATATGAATATTTCATAACTAGTTCTGCAATTTTACACCATTTTTAAAATTTTATACATTTGTTAATTCAATTAATTAAATGTCACAAGGGTCAAATGGCTTAACACACATTAACCTAAATATGAAACCTAATGTTGGATTATGTAAATACTGTTTTCAAATAAATAAATAATAATATTACATTTAGTAGAGTATGAGCTAACAAATTGTGAAGAAGTTTTTAATGTGTAATTAGGCTTTTTGAATATATTCAAAAATATGTGCTGGAATTGACAGTTTATGTACTTTGATGTAGAAAATCTTAATTTGAAAACAGTAAACACATTAAAAAATGCAACCCAGCTTTACATTTTAGCTTTGATTTAATTATAGATATTATATTTCCTACGAGGCGCTGGAGGCGCAGTGGTTAGTGCGCGTGCCCCCCCATGTATGGAGGCTATAGTCTTCCAAGCGGGCGGCCCAGGTTCAAGTCCAGCCTGTGGCTCCTCTCTCACATGCCCCACTCTCTCTCCCTGATTTCCAAATATACCCACTTTCCTCCTACCAACTTCCATGGAGGTACAGCATGCTTGGAAATGACGTACAATAAAAATAATATCTGCTCAAGCAACCAAACTTAACCAATCTCTGTTTCAGATGTTTTGGTGGAAAAATACGTCGCTGTGGTGGAAATGACGGTTAAACTGTGTGACATACACTGCCTGGCCCAAAAAAAAAGTCACAGACTCTAATATTTCGTTAGACCGCCTTTAGGTTTGATTATGGCACGCGTTCGCTGTGGCGTTGTTTCGATAAGCTTCTGCAAAGATTTATTTCCGTCCAGTGTTGCGTTCAGTTTTTCACCAAGATCTTGCATTGATGATGGGAGAGTCTTCTCCACCACATCCCCAAAGAGTCTCATTGGGGTTAAGGTCTGGACTCTGTGGTGGCCAATCCATGTGTGAAAGGGATGTCTCATGCACCCTGAACCACTCTTTCACAATTTGAGCCCGATGAATCCTGATGAATCATCTTGGAATATGCCCGTGCCATCAGGGAAGAAGAAATCCATTGATGGAATAACCTGGTCATTCAGTATAGTCAGGTAGTCAGCAGGCACATATTGTTGTTGAACCTAGACCTGACCAACTGCAGCCCCCCAGATCATAGCACTGCCCCCCCAGATCATAGCACTGCCCCCCCAGATCATAGCAGTGCCCCCACAGGCTGGTACAGTAGGCACTAGGCGTGATGGGTGCATCACTTCATCTGCCTCTCTTGTTACTCTGATCACTCTGGGTAAATCTTCCTTCCAGTTTTTAATAACGCGTTGGACAGTTCTCAACCCAATTTTAGTAGTTTCTGCAATTTCCTTCGATGTTTTCTCTGCTTGATGCATGCCAATGATTTGACCCTTCTTAAACCACCACAGGATGGGTCTTTCAACATAGTAGTTTAAGAAATGAGAAGCTACTCATTGCATCAGTTGAGGTTAAATAACTTGTTGCCAGCTGAAAGATAATCGCCCATGCAGTTATTATCCAATGGGAGGCTCTTACCTATTTGCTTACCTAAATGCAGGTAGCAACTTTTTTTTGGACAGGCAGTGTATATATTTTGAGTAAAAATTAATATTTACAATTGTCTCACATTAAATACTAAAAGATTGTTTAATTGTAGTGTATTAAGTACTACTTAATACAGGTATATCAACATTCATATGATTTAAAATAGTTTGTGTGTGGGACGAGGGCAAAACAGTTGAAAAGTAAGTAAAATACATATTGGAGGGAAGATAAAAGCTTTTATTCTCTATTTATTGTATTTAATAAATTGTAAATATTATTATTTTTTAAATATGACCAAAGAACATGAAAGCTATTGTAGTCAAAGAACCATAGCTTTCTGTAGTTTAGATTCATCATGATAACTAGACCATCATCACTTATTCACTGCAGGACAATTAACTTTGAGTCAAACACATTTCATATGATTATAACTGTTTATGTATATTTACTTTGTTATTGACACATCTAATTTGATGTGTCTAAATATGTATTTATAAAATTGAATGGTCTTCAGTTTATTAACTAGAGTGGAGAGAACAGATTGAATAAACTGTGACGATCAGTTATCAATAAACAATAGTTATCATATAGCCTACTTGTTCAGTCAGACTCACTAAAGTTTATTTGTTATCATCCTGTACAGCTTCATATTTGTAATTTATTTAACATGGACAGTGAAGTACTCGATGTATCTGTGGTTGCAGCACTGTGCCAGTGTCAGTTGACAAAATGGGATTACAATAAAATGTTGAATTCATCATAAATTAAACAGACAGTACAGGAAGAACTCTTTAAAATGAAAAGTGGTGGCTCTTAAAAGAGCCGTTGTGGTTGTTTTGGAGCAATAGACAGATTAAGCTCTCTCTCCGCGGATCCTTCTGGCCAGCTGGATGTCTTTGGGCATGATGGTGACCCTCTTGGCGTGGATGGCGCAGAGGTTGGTGTCCTCGAAGAGACCGACCAGGTAAGCCTCGCTGGCCTCCTGCAGAGCCATGACAGCGGAGCTCTGGAAGCGCAGGTCGGTCTTGAAGTCCTGAGCGATCTCACGGACCAGACGCTGGAAGGGCAGCTTGCGGATGAGCAGCTCGGTGGATTTCTGGTAACGACGGATCTCTCTGAGAGCCACGGTACCGGGCCTGTAACGATGGGGCTTCTTGACGCCCGGTGGCCGGGGCGCTCTTACGGGCAGCCTTGGTGGCCAGCTGCTTCCTGGGAGCTTTGCCTCCTGTGGACTTACGAGCGGTCTGCTTAGTTCTTGCCATTCTTGCTAGTTTCTCTAAACAGAAGAAAATGTGCTGCAGTCAGGGGGCGAGCTGCTTTTAAAAAGGTTGAGCGGATGTGAAACAGTGACGCCAGTTCAGACCTCTAGCCTCTGATTGGTGACAAAGCCTCGTCTGGCGCTCAGTCCCGCAGGGGGGGATCGAGCCCCCGCCTCAATCTCCGCTGCTCATTGGAGAAACGTTTTTCAAATCGCGGAGTGAAACTGCGAGCGGGGCCGGCCTCTTCTGCTAAACCAGAAACCTCTTTTCTGATTGGAGGAGGAGGAAAACGCGCGCGTGCTATGCGGAGATATAAGAGGGGGACATCTCGGCACAGAATTATATTTCTCTCAGGCTCGACTCTAGAGATTAACATACACCATGTCAGGAAGAGGCAAAACCGGCGGAAAAGCCAGAGCAAAGGCAAAGACTCGCTCCTCTCGTGCCGGGCTCCAGTTCCCAGTCGGTCGTGTTCACAGGCTGCTGCGTAAAGGAAACTATGCCCAGCGTGTTGGTGCCGGAGCCCCCGTCTACCTGGCGGCTGTGCTCGAGTACCTGACCGCTGAGATCCTGGAGTTGGCCGGGAACGCTGCCCGTGACAACAAGAAGACCCGTATCATCCCCCGTCACCTGCAGCTGGCTGTCCGCAACGACGAGGAGCTCAACAAGCTGCTCGGAGGAGTCACCATCGCTCAGGGAGGAGTGCTGCCCAACATCCAGGCTGTTCTCCTGCCCAAGAAGACCGAGAAGGCTGCCAAGAAGTAGAGATCCAATACTGACTTCTACAAACACAAAGGCTCTTTTAAGAGCCACCACATCACAACTAAAGAGCAAATTCTTATTATAAGTGAAGTAGATTAGAAACTTTCCATAAGGCCATGCGAGTCGACAAACACAATTTTCAATTTTAATAAATGGTCCGCCACCAAGTCTATTAATAATTCAGACAGTTTAATACTTGTACTTTATACATATAACTACAGAAACCTTCATACAATGAACAGATGTAGGCGACTGTGGATTAGACAACATGGTTACATTTACATGAGTGTTGTGTTAAAGCTAATTTCTCACAGTACTTGTTCTTCAATAAAGCCTTTATCTTACACATTAAGGATGCATGTCTTAAATGTGAATATCAAGTCCTGATTTGTTCAGTGGCAGACTCCTTAATAGAAGTTGTGGTGGCTCTTAACTGTCAGGGTCTCTATTATGAACCATTTCATAATTTAACTGTACCATTACTGTCTCTAGTTCTACATTTCATTTGTTGTCTTTGAAAATCATCACATCCTGTCCTGAAAAAATATTTTTTTTCTCATCTCATTTCTTTGTTATAGTGAGAAAAATGGAGACATGAGGACATAAGGTCTGAAGATAAATGCTCAGTATTTGCTAAAAGTCGTTATCACTACACATTTTTTGGATGCATACATTTCTTAAACTCTAATATGAGGTTTGTTTATTCAAATATTTCAACCCTTTAAAACGTGATTTGTTTGGAAAGGATTAAGGTTTTATTCATTCTGTGCTTAGCCTGAAACAAGGATTATATTCTGACTTACTACAGTCCTGTTGATTTGTTAGATTTATTACTTAAATAATGTAATTTGATATAATAAAGTGGAGAAGAATGAACATGGGTGGTAAGATTTTAAATGAAAATATCAGATAACTGTTGACAAATACTAAAGATGATGAAGTGGAAAGCTGCATTCTTCATGACATAGAGAGAAAGTAGGAGAGCTATGCTATGCTCTCTGTGCATTATATATTTCATATAGGAATTACATTTTAATGTAACTAGTGATGTGTCGGTCATGAACGATTCGTTCAAAACGAACAAATCATCTGGGTGAACGAACTGAACTGAATCACTGACTGAAAAGAGTCGTTCATTTCTCAACTTCAGTTGCTCTCTCCTCTCTCCCATCTCGTGTCTCTCTCTAGACCGTAAGAGTCTCTCCAAAGCCCGCCTCTACTTCTCCCTCTCATGTCTCCAAAATTGAGGAAGTAGAAAATATATTATTTAACATTTAGGTGTCGCAAAAATATATGTGCTTTTTATATCTGCTGTCAGTTTACAAACGGCTTTTATATCCAACTTAATTTAACTCAGCTGTTTTAACATCTACTAACGTGTGTGTGTGTGTTGTGTGTGTGTGTGTTGTGTGTGTGTGTGTGTGTGTGTGTGTGTGTGTGTGTGTTGTGTGTGTGTGTGTGTGTGTTGTTGTGTGTGTGTGTGTGTGTGTGTGTGTGTGTGTGTGTGTGTGTGTGTGTGTGTGTGTGTGTGTGTGTGTGGTGTGTGGTGTGTGTAGTATATATAATAATATATATAGAGAGCTCCCGTTCAGTTCGTTCTCTTCACTCATTCAACTCATTTGTGTTTTAACAGCTATTCTTATGAAAATCTGTCTGTGTCCTTAATTATTATTTTTTTTTCTTTGTTTGTCTAAATTCTGGTTTCTTTCTGGTTGTTAAGATGTAGCCTAGCCTTAAATAAGGATTAGTTTATATTCCGATTCACTACCTTGGACTTCCTAGTCATGTTAGTTGCACACAGATGTGACCACATTCAACATTCAGAGGTGATTATAAACATAGATAATAGATTATAAATAGTATAATTGAGGACAGACTCTTAAGTGGAAGTTGTGGGGGCTCTTAAAAGAGCCTTTGATGCATTGAATGCTGGTGTGAAGATTTACTTCTTGGTCTTCTTGGCTGCAGTTTCTTAGCAGCAGTCATCTTCGCTGCTTTTTTCTTCGCTGGAGTTTTTTTCACTGGAGTCTTCTTCACCGCTTTCATGGGTGTAGTCTTCTTGGTGGCCTTAGAGACGGCTTTCTTTGAGCCCTTCTTCGCCGCTCTCACAGTTGCAGGCATGTTTGCTGAGTGATGAACTCAAAAACAGATCTCAAAGTGAGTGTCAGAAAGCTGTTTATACTTGGTGTTGATGCAACATACAATGTGCTGTTGCTCACACAGGATTGGCTGAGTGCCACACTGAGCTTTCAGTCACGTGACCGGCGCTGAGGTCTGAGGTCCTTTAGTGTTTAGCAAAATAGCGACCACTGTTGATCACTCCGAGGAGCTGCAGCACGAGCTGTTTAATAAACAAAATACAAATTAGACAGCATTAACATTTACCCTCTTCAAATAATATGGAATCAGGTTTACAGTATTTATAGCTTTCTTATTGTTAATTAGATTTAAGGTTCAAAATCATTTTACATTTAGTGATGATGAATACTGTTAAGCGTACCTGAAAATTATTTAATTTGGATTCATGGATTTTAAATTGACCACGTAGTCTAAAGAGGTTAATTGTCTGTTCACATTTATTATTTTTTTTATTTAGAATAAAATGAAATTTTTAGGAAACAAAATTAATTGAACCATTCATATGATTGTCAGTAAAATTGTCCAGATTCTCCAGAACAGCCTGGTTAAGATAAGAAGTGTTTTATTTTGTCTCCTTCAGTTAGAAGCTGTTGATGACATGTAGATAGTTTCTGTAGTTTGGATTCATCGTGATATCTGGACCATCATCACTTATTCACTGCAGGACAATTCACCGTGGATCATCTATCCTTTATATCTTCATATTTAAACACATTTCATATGATTATAACTGTGTTTATGTTTATTTAGTTTATTATTGACACCTCTAAATTTATATGTTTCTACATATTCATATATCAAAAACAATAAAGCAAAGTATCCACAACTTAAAGTTGAACATAACACAAATTTTTAAAATACAATAATACACAAACACAAAACACCGTGTCCACCAAAACACACAACACTTCCAACAGGAACATTTAGTCAATCATAGCACAATGTCATAAAAACACTAACATCAGATGAATAACATAAACTGCATTACTTTATGTGTGTCAGGTCTGCCCTTATAAAAAGTATATTGTATTGATCATGGATTGTGTTTTGCTCTGCAGTTTCCTTCTTGAAGCCTCTCTACATTTCTGTTTTGTTGGGTTTAGTAAACGCATGTATTTTGTTTCTTTTGCTGCAGGAATTCAATACAAAAAAGGAATGACCAATCTCAGAATTGTTTTATAGAAGATATGGTTTGAGAAAAAGAAGACAGAGACAGAATTGCTGTACTAAAGGCTTTATTTCATCTCAGCAATCACCATGTTGATAATGGCAAGTTCCTGTTCTTTATTTAGGGCTTTCCCCACACTGTATAACAGACTAAATAAACTTCTGTGTTGAGAACACTGTACCCACCAAAAAAATGTTGTGTTTCTTCCTCCTCCACCGACGGCCTCTCCAGAACAGCTGATCACTAGATCAAGTCAGCTGAGGAAGATCAAGGCGAGGAAGGCCACAGGTCCCGACGGCATCAGCTCCAGACTCCGGAAGGACTGTGCAGATCAGCTCTGTGAGGTTCTTCTGCACATCTTCAACCTGACCCTGAGACTGGAGAGGGTACCGACTCTGTGGAAGACTTCCTGTGTGGTGCCAGTCCCAAAGACATCTCACCCCAGGGAGCCTAACCACTTGAGAACTGTGGCCCTCACCTCTCACCTGATGAAGACCATGTAGAGGATCATCCTCAACAACCTCCGCCCCCTGGTGACTTCAAATCTGGATCCTCTGCAGTTCGCCTACCAGCTGGACATCAGGGTGGATGACTCCGTTATCTACCTGCTGCAGAGATCCTGGACTCACCTGGAGAACACCGGCAGCACTGTGAGGTTCATGTTATTTGACTTCTCCAGTGCCTTCAACACCATCCAGCCTGCACTGCTCAGGGGGAAGGTAGAGAGGGCGGGAGTAGACTGTCACCTAGCTGCATGGACAACGGACTACCTCACCAATAGACCACAGTACGTGAGGCTTCAGGACTGTGAGTCTGATATGGTGGTCTGCAGTACAGGGGCCCCGCAGGGGACAGTTCTCTCCCCTTTTCTCTTCAGGAAAACAGGAATTATTGTCAATCAGCATGTGCTGATCCGCACAGACAACAGAGCGACAGCAGCTTACATCAATCGCTAGGGCGGGGTGCGTTAGGCTCAGCTTCTGTGCACAGTCCGGTAGCTGTTGCTCTGAACGAGCTCTCACCTGCTCTCTCTCCGGGCGCTGTACGTCCCCGGTGTATTGAACTGGGGAGCGGACATCATGTCGTCAAGCATGAACCTGAACCTCAGTGGCTTCTAGCAAATGAACAAACTCAGACTGATGGGTCACTCGCAGGTGACACAGATTAGTAGGCTGATTAGAGGCCAGGGGCCAGATTTACAAAGTCTCCTAAATACTAAGAGTTACTCCTAATGACAAAATTCTAACAAAATTCTTAGAATCAGGACATTTTCCAAGAAATTCCCCTCCAAGTTAAGACTAGGTCCTTGTAAATATATTTACAAAGCATCTTAGCCCTTAAAGAGAGATCCTAAGGTTTAAAACTGTTAGGAAGCAGTGAGGAGAACTTTTAACAGGATGAAGAGTTTCTCACACTGAGGAGAAGAGGGGGAAATGTTCTAAAAACACTGCATAATGAATATTATTTTTGACTGATAGTTGGGCTGAACAGACTAAAATGATTTGTGCAGACATTTCAATCCATCTATGACTTTTCTCAATGCAAAGTGAGACATGTATGTTGAGTTTCTCTACATGTGGTTTCCTCCACAGGTGCATCCAATCACTAATCAAGGCTCTTTACCTGCTGATGTAGCTTCAGCATGTGAAAAAGCTGCTGCACAAGTGAAAATGTGATTTCAAATATTTCGTGGGCTTTATACTTTTGAAGTACATCTTACAAATGAAGTACATCTTACAAATGATCACACAGGTGCTTATTTCATTGTGTTTATAATTACACAATGTCTGACTAAATTGTATGATTTACTGTTTTTCTCAATTTTTTTGGATTTAACAATTAGAGCTTCTGAAAAAAAATGTCATGCTTAGCAACAGGGTCAATCACGCCTTCTCAATAAGATAGACAGCACTATAAGAGTTGTAGTCCATGCCCACCCTGGAGGTGGGCCCCTCCCAC